CATGAAGTGAGTTTTATTCTTATTATTATTTGCAAGTTGAACCTACTGAACACTGGCAGTTATATAAATGTAGAAGTTCCTCATAAAATAGAAGCTAGATTATGAATAGACCTAAACCTACTGAGTGTGTTAAATATTTCATATAGTTGAACAGAGAAAGAAAAGCTATGTCACCTCCCCTTGAGGAGCCTGCATTGAGAGTATGAGTTAACAGATATCTATAGCTAGAAGTAAAGTAAAATAACAACAAAACATTTCACCTTCTGGGCTAAAATTCTATTTTAGACTCAACTCATTGCATTGTATTTATTTCACAAAGTTAAAATTGAGATAGTTTCAGGTAGGTAGGATTAACTTATCTCATAATTTTAATATTATTCCTACTCTTTCTAATTTTGTTTTAGTGAAATGTAAATTATTCATGTTACCAAACTGTTTGTTTTCTTAATGATATAATTTATTTTTTAAAGCCACTAGCAGAAACATTTACAAAAAATATTTGAGTAATGCATCCAAAATAATTTACAAAAATGAAAGAGTACCTTGGTAATTACTTACCTTCTTATTCTATAAAAATATCATTCATAAATCAAATTAATAAGTGCTCTTGATTTTATTTGAATATATTCATATGATGTAGTTTTAGCCATATCTTTTTCTTCTAAGCCAGAAGCATGGTATTCCAAAAAAATTGTTCAAAGACAAAATTAAGTAGAAGGAAGCCAGGAGCTGGTGGCTCATGCCTGTAATCCTAGATACTCAGGAAGCTGAGATTTGAGGATTTGTAGTTCAAAGCCAGTCTAGACAGGAAAATCCATGAGACTCTTATCTGCAATAAGCTACTCAGAATAAGCCAGAAGTTGTACTGTGGCTCAAATGGTAGAGCCCTGGCCTTGAGCACAAAGTGCCTCAGGGATAGAGCCCAGGCCCTGAATTCAAGCCTCAGGACCAGAAAAAAAAAGTGGGAGAGCTAATTAAAAGATACTTACATTGGGGTATATTACACTTGCTTTACTAGTAATTTATGTTGGCTACCCTACTTGTATTTTTATTATGAAAAGCCGTGTGACATAAAACTTAGTATTTTGCCCATTTTAATTGTAAACTTTAGTAGCATTAAGTTTATATTCCGTAGCTTATGAGCAATAGCTCTTTATACCCTCCTCACAGCTTATTATGTCCATCCTAATTTCTGTGTCTAAAATATTGCCCATTCCAGTTATCTTTCATAAATTGAATTCAACCATATTTGTCCCTTTGAATTTAATACTAAGAAAAATGCTTTCAACATTTATCCTATTGTAACATGCATTTAAATTTCTTTGCTTTATGACCAAAGAAGATTCTGTGTCTGTGTGTCTGTGTGTGTGTGTGTGTGTGTGAGAGAGAGAGAGAGAGAGAGAGAGAGAGACAGACAGACAGACAGACAGACAGACAGACAGAGAGACAGACATGCATTTGTTGATGGATATATTTTCCGTGTTTTGGATAATAAATCTTGATGCTATGAACATTTATATAGAGTTAGTTCTTTCGTTTTCATTTTTAGGTATATTGGAATTCTTCAGAGAAACAGAAGCAATGGCCTATAGATTTTTTGAAAAATATATATTATGTATGAAATACAATATATTGAAATATCATACAAGTATAAAGAGATTCATTATAAGCTGAGCAATTCTACCACTTTCTATTTAGAAACTGTAGCTCAAGGAAAACCTTTGTCATAATTATAGACTAAGTCCTGTGTCTTAAGGCCTAAGAATCAAGGGAGCCAATGGTAAAAATCTTTAAGTCCAAAGACACCTTAAGCACACTGGCAGGAAATACGGTGAATTCTTTCCTTTTTTTTTTTTTATTGTGAAAATTCCGTACAGAGGGGTTACAATTGCATGGGCAAGATAACAAGTACATTTCTTGTCAAGCATTGTTGCCTCCTCCTTTGTTTCCCCTTCCCATCCCTTCTCATTATCCCTCCCCACTCGATCCTCCCCCCCCCACCAAAGTTCTAAAGTTCGTTTTTCGACATCATGACTTGTACATCTCATTGTTGCAATGGGTCCACCTGTATCCCTATTTAAACGATTTTTTTTTCCCTTCCCCTCCACAAATTGTACCAACATCAAATACAGTGAAAGCAGGAGTTATACCGTGGGGGAGGGACATACAAAGCAACAAAGAAATTATCTTATAAATATGTTAGAGACAATTGCATTAAAAAATATTTGAATCCTTATCTTGGGGGTCATTTCCCTAACATCAACTTATCTGACCTTTTCTGCTTGACTCTGACATACACTGGTTATTGTAAATAAGGGAAACCATGGGACCTATGTTTCTTTGGGCCTGGCTTACTTCACTTAATACTATTCAGGTCCTCAATTGACTAGTGTCCACCCAGATATGGAAGAGGACAATTTATTGTATTGAGTCTACAAACTCAAATTCTAACCTGATACAGGAATACCCTTGCATACAAATCCAGAAATCATGTTTAAGCTCAGCTCTTGGCCATGTCACCATGACAACCATAATAGTAGTTTTAGAAGTACATAGGCATTTGGTAGGTTCAGCTCTGTTTAATTTCGGAGTTACGATCAAACTATTTTCTGTGATGGCCAAACTTTTACATTCTCTCTCTCCACCCATGCAAAAGAGTTCCAGTTATCATTTCCTTGCCATTGATATTGTCCATTTGATGTATAAGAGACAGTCCTAAGTGTAAAGTAATATTTTATAGGTGCTGTTTGGATAGTATCATAAAATGAATGAAATGAAACTTATTTTTTCTTCCTTATTATATATACCCAAAGTTTGCTTAATTTATATATTTGTGTGGTGTGATATTTATGGACTGACTAGTGTTTTCCTCCCTTAAGATCTTATCCAAAAACAAAATTATTTTTCCTTTTTCCTTAGTAGTTTGTAAGTTTTTTCATTATGTGCCTAATTGCTTTTTTTTAGAATCTTCAATATATAATGGATATAAGTGGTGAGAGCAGGCATCTTGTTTTCTTGTTTATCTTGGCATATAATCTTTCAGTCTGTCTCCATTAAGTATGATGTCAGCTGTAGTTTTCTTATATATGACCTTTATTTTGTTTATAGAGCTTCCTTTAATTCTATTTTATAGTGTGTTTTCCCAATTAAGGATGTTTGATTTTTATAAAGTGCTTTTTCATAATCAATTAAAATAAGTGTGTGGGTTTTGACTTTATTAATGTGGTATAATGCATTAATTAATTTTCTTTATTCAATCACACTTCAATTCCAGTGATAAATCCAACTTAGTCTTCTGTTTTACTCCGCAATTCCATTTGTTAGTATTTTTTCAAAAATTTTATATTTGTGCTCATTAAAGATATTATTATTCTTTTCTGGTGAAGCTTTGGATAGGCTCATATTGGCTTCACAGAATGAGTTCAGAAGCTTCCTGTTTCATTGAGTATAAACACTTTTAATTCTTTAAATTTTTCATAGAATTCACTACTGAAACCATTAAGTCCTAGCCATCTCACTGTTCAGAAGGTTTTGATTACTGACTTATTCTGTCTCAGTTTTTTATAGGTCTATAGCAATTTTCTACTTATGAAATTTTTCATTGTTTATATATGTCTAGTCCATTTTGTCTATGTTAACTAATTTGATTATGTACCCTTATTCACAATCTTCTAATTTTACATCTGTGTATAAAACTAACAGTAATAGATTAATTTTTAATTCTAATTTTAGGTATAATAGTCATTTTTTTCTTTGTTAGCATAAACTGCCTTTTATAAAATAGTTTTTTTCATGTCAACATGTGGATATAGATTTCTCCATCATTATAAAGTATCTTTCCTTTCTGTCTCTTCATTTGTTTTTCTAATACTAGGTCTTGAATTCAGAGGCTATGTACTATCCCTGAGCTTTTTTGTGTTCAAGTCTAGTGCTGTACCAGTTGAGCCACAGCTTACTTCCAGCTTTTTGTTGTTAATTGCAAATAAGTGTATCATAGACTTTCCTGCCTGGGCTGGCTTATAACCTCAATTCTCAAGATCTCAGCCTCTTGAATAGCTAGCATTATGGGAATGAGCTGTTCGTGCCGGGTCATTTCTTTTCTTGTAAAAAAAAATTATTATTAAGTCTTCAAACAAAGAGGTTCCAGTTCATTCATAACAGCTGATCTTAACCAATGTCACTCCTTGCGTCACTCTCCCCCTGCAGTCCCTCTCCAGTCCCTGCAGTCTAATTTTTTCAGTTTAATTTTTACATAATATACATAGAAAATAATGACTGTATCTGCTCACCCTTCACCCCTCCATTCATGTATCCCCCATTACTTCCTCCATTAAGCAAAACAAACAAACAAGAAAAACCACTTCCACTTCCACTTCCTGATACTCATTTTGGTAAACAGTTCATTAATTGTTCATAGGAATTACACCATCCTACTCTTTCCTTAAGTGTATAGTCCTTAAGTCGGGTAGTTTGTGTCTATATGCACAGAGCATTGTGCATGCTATCGTGTGTATTTGTGCTATAGCTTTAACTTACACGTCTGAGAGAAAAAAATGTGCTACTTGTCTCTGCACATGCTGGTACTAGGACTTAAAATAAAGGACTTGCAATTTTGCTCAGCTTTTTCATTCATTGCAGGTATTTTACCACTTGCACTATTTCTCTACTTCTGGCTTTTTGCTGGTTAGTAGGAGAGAGAGTCTTGTGGATTTTTCTGTGTATGCTGGTTTTGTATTTTGAACTTACAGATCTTGAGCCACTGGCACCAACCTTATCTTGTATTTACTATGTGTGTACTATCATATGGAGTGAACCAAATGAATTTGTACATTTTATTAATATTTTATTGTAGCTCATTTTTGGTGATTCTTGGGAGATACTTTGTACTATAACATAAATCCAAACCAAAATTTGCTATACAAGATAATTGTGTTTAGAATTGTTAATGTGTATATCCTAATAACAAACCACTAACCTTCTATTCTTTTATTTCTTTTTAGAATCTTGTGAAGCATCTTCCTGAGCAGAAAACACTTAATGAACTAGCGCAGCTGAAGAATGAATATGATGACCTCTGTGAGTCTGAGCAGTTTGGAGTTGTGGTATGTATTGAATATGTAGGACCACAAACTTAGCTAGCAGACATAACTTGTCAGAACAATAAAAAGAAAGACATTTCAGGGGCTGGAAAGGTGGCTGAGTGGTAGATTGCTTGCCTTGCATGCATGAGGCTCTGGGTTTGATTCCTCAGCACCACATAATCATGAAAAACCAGAAGTGGTGTTGTGGCTCAAGTGGCAGAGCATTAGCCTTGAGACCAACAAAAAACAAAACAAATCTTGCTGGAGGAAAGACATTTCAATTGATGATGTGTTTTGCTACTATGTATCCACATAATTAAATGCAATATTCCTTAGTATATTATTATCATATTAATATACCTATTATATTTTTGTAGTGTAAGAATGGCAAAATTAATTTTTACATTCATAAAATGTGACCAAATATTTCATAGGATCTTTATGGCCCTTATTTTAATTGATTATCATATGCAAAATAATATGTACTATTGTGCTAATTTTGCTTTTATTAGATTTCAGCCACGAAACATTTAGTCTAAAGTAAAAGAGCAATATCTAGATAAGTAACAAAATACTGGGGACTATTTTCTGTCCTATATTTTGTGATAGAAAAAGCACAACTCTTTTCAGATTTCCTATAGGATGTCATTAATTGATGGAAAGCTTGCAATGTACAATTTCAGCTGAAGCAGAAATGTTACCAATACACTTCATGTGGTTAAATCATCATGTGTTTATTATTGGGGTGAATTATTTTTCCTTATCCCCCTTTCATTTTATATGATTCAAAATATGACTAGGTGTGAATTATGTATTAAAGGATATAGTTCTATATTTTAAGCATTTCTCCAACATGCTATTCAAATAATTGACAAAAAGTGAGAGGAAAAAGAGCATCATGATTTATTTAATTTCTGGGAGAAAAAGCTATTTTTTTATTTAAGTGTTCAATATAAATTTATTTGCTTTCTGATGAACAGCTCTGTTATGGTTACAAGCTTTACTTTAGCTCCCTGAATATCTTCCATCTGTCTAACAAAAATTTAAAACTTGCCAGTAGACCTGATATTCAGACCTATCCTGCGTCATTTAAAATATTCTATAATCTTTTCAAATAGTTCTCCATTATAATTGAGTTCATTTGATAGTTTGCATTTAAAAAAATGCTATTTAAACTCAAATTATGCTGAATGAACCTGAGCTGGTTTCTTTTGAGCATGAGCAATAACTCCTTGCCCATATTTAGAGTTCTTTAATTCTAGATATAGCATTGCTTACATGAACAAAGAAGGATTCTATCAAATCTCTGTGTACTTGGGATCAAATATAGCATAACACTAAACCTGAAGCATTTATTTCACTTCTTTTTGTGCAGATCTGTTTGTTGGTCCACTGATTTAGCTAGATACTGTTTAATCATACACACTTTCTCACAATGTGAAATAATAACATGTTTTAGACCCCTCACTTGAAACCTGTACTACTCAAATTCACATTATAATTGAAATGAAGCTATCCACTATCAAAGAATTCAGCTGGGTCATGTTTCTTTTACAGTAGGTACACTACACAGTTTCTCTGAAGTTATTCTTTTTTCCTTTGTGCAGTTTATCTTGGAAGATGTATTCCTTTGCCAGGCTAGTACTTCAAGAAGCGTATTCTTGGTACCACACTGATGAAATGAATTTTGGGGACATAAAGAGCAATATACCTTCTGAACTAAAGGCAAAAGAGAAAGTGGAAAAGATTTCTTGTTTATGCACATAACCGTAAATAATTCTAGGGCACTGTGTACATGAATCCATTTAGTCTTCTTATTTACTCTCACTGTACTGAAGCTTCATGTCTATGGGAAAAAGAGTCAAGGACATTGCAAGGCATTGTATACTATGTAAATTGCCTGCAACTGTATTATTCAAGAGTTATCACATAAAGTTTAGGTAAACTCATGTATAATATTTTGAAATAATAATTTACCATAGTCATTTAAATGTGTGCTTTGCTGTGCTTAGACCTGTATTTCATACAAAGTAGACAGTAAATGATTACTGAGTTGAATTACAAAATGATTATTATCTGTAATTTGAGACTGCAATTTAAAATTAGCATACTTTAAATCTGTTAAAGTTTGCTAAAACATTTCAAAATTCAATGACTTCTCTGTTTAGACACTAGCATTCTTTTTTACTCTTAAGTATCAACATTCTGAAATGAAGACGGCTTTGATAAAATAAATTATTTGTACAAATGACACTCAGGTTACAGAGACAGTGTCTGTTTTCTTCCCCCATCTACTCTTTACTGTGCATTTTGTTTGTTAGCCTGATGCTCCTGGATCATGCCTGTGATCCTAGCTATTCAAGAGCCTGAGATCTGAGTATAATGGTTCAAAGACAATTCAGGTAGGGAAGTCTGTGAGACTCTCATTTGGAAGTGGAGATCAAGCACTAGCTTTAAACATAAATGCTGGGCCTTAAATTGAAGCGTGAAGACTCCCCCTGCCAAAAAGAAAAAGTCTGTCAAGTGATTTCTGTATCATATGGCTTCAATATCTCCCTGAATTTACTGATCAAGACTTTTACATTCTCATTCTGCCTTTCCTTTACTTCATTCATTTATTTCTTACTTTGTCCAAGTCCTTTGACTCCTCTCCATTTTTTCATCAACACAAAATTTTTTTATTGACCGTACTGGGGATTGAACTCCATTCCATATAAGTTGTCTGATGGCACTCTACTATTTGAACCATGCCCCCTTACCTGCTTTTTGCTGGTTACAGTTTTAGTCTCTCAGATTTTTCAGCCTATGTTGGCTTCAAAATATGGATTCTCAAAATCTCAATCTCCTGAGGAACTAGAACTGCAGAATCGATCCACTGGCACACATCTACCACAAATTCTTGCTTGCCAAGAAAAAATGTACCTGGAAAGTTATCTCTGTCCACGTTTTTTGTTTCGCTTTTGTGTTTTTGAGATATAGTCTCATATTGTCCGGGCTATTTTTCAATTTGTGAATTCAAGTGACCCTCTTCAGTACATGACACTACTGCACTTGTCTTAATGATTTTTTTCTTACTCTGTTTAGAATTAAAATTCAGTATTTGATACTTTCAAAGGCAAGCAGTTTCCCAGTTACATAGCTAAACTCATGTCTTTTATTTATGAATTCTATGAAACCTGAGAAAAAATTATCACTATTATCATTATCACTTTTAGTATTGATTGCGACAAATCTGAATGGTACTTACTGTGTTCTATAGTTTGTAAGCATCTACTTGCATCATCTAATGTGGTAAGAGAAACTTCATGTTATTTGCTCATATTACAGATGAAGTAACTGAAGCCAATCAAGAGTAAGTAGCATAGTAAATAGTAGCTGCAGAATTCATCCCAGATACTCTGAACTCATAGCAAAGCTTTTGGATACTATACTTATTGAGAAAGAAAATGTGTGTGTGTGTGTGTGTGTGTGTGTGTGTGTGTGTGTGTGTAAGAGAGAGAGAAAAGTAGAGAGACATGTAGATGTTCTACTATTACACGTTAATTTTCTTACCTCTGCCTTGAGTGTCATTATTACCTGCCTCCTTTAGAGCAGCAATATTTCTAGCATTCTTTACTACTATTAGTTATCCTATTATTTGTTCATTTTATCTAATTCTACTGTGCCCTTGAGAAAGAACATTCTGAAGTCACATGCTTCCTAAAAATGAATGAATAAATGGATGGATGAATGACAATGCATCACTGACCCTGAGGTCTCTTGCTAGCTACTACCTCTCTTCATTTCCTAGCATTAGCTTCTTCAAAGATTAATCTCCATTTGCTCTCTGCTTCCTTAATTCTCACTCACTGTTCAACCAATAGCAGTCATGACTTTGCTTTGAATAATGCACTGAAATTGATCTAGGAAAGGTCATTAATTACCTCAATCACAACTATATACATCATGTCTACTTACTTCAATCTATACTGCTGGGTGAGTTAGTCTGTGCCACCCTGGCCTTTCTCTTTAACCATTACAGTTTCCTTTTAGCTCGTTTCTCCCACTTAAAATTTTGCCCTTCTAATTGGTTTCAACATAGCTGTTAGCGTGACATTGCTAGAATATCTTTGTTGTATATCATATAATTTGCTGTTTAAAACATTAATGTTGTACTCTTATTTTTAGCTACAAACCTGCTTCTTGGACTCTTGCTCATCATGTGTCAGCTCCAATGCATTTCATTCTCAAGGGTTTGAATGTCCTTTGCACTTTCCTACCTCAGGACTATTGTACATGCTCTGCATGCTGTCCTCTCTCATCCTTAGTCTCTCCTGCTTATTTCTCAAGTTTCATCTTTTTAATTTTTTTAACAACATCAAATACAGTGAAAGCAGGGGTTATGTTGTTATAATTTGTGGAGGGGAAGGGAAAAATCGTTTTAATAGGGATACAGGTGGACCCATTGCAACAATGAGACATCCAAGTCGTATGTAGAAAACGAAATTTACAACTTTGGTGGTGTGGGGGAGGTTTGGGTGGGGGAGCAGGGGAAGGATGGGATTGGAAGGGGAAACAAAGGAGGAGGCTACAATGCTTAATAAGAAATGTACTCATTATCTTGCCCATGTAATTGTAACCCCTCTGTACAGTATTTTCACAATAAAAAAACAAAACAAAAAATTTTATTAATAAGATTTTATTGTGAAAATACTGTATAGAGGGGTTATAATTACATGAGCAAGGTAATGAGTACATTTCTTATCAAGCATTGTTGCCTCCTCCTTTGTTTCCCCTTACGATTCCTTCCCTCTCACCCCCCCCCCCGCTAAAGTTGTAAAGTTCATTTTTTGACATAACGTCTTGTACATCTCATTGTTGCAATGGGTCAACCTGTATCCCTATTTAAACAATTTTTTTTCTCTTCCCCTCCCCAAATTATACCAACATCAAATACAACCCCATGGGGGAAGGACATACAAAGCAACAAAGAAATATCTTTGTACTTTTTATAAAAAAAAATTAGAAACAATAGCAAGAAA